GGATATAGGAGCATTTCTGAATCATGTTATAAAGTCAAGCATGTGAAGACCTGGACCTGGAGGAGGATGACAGTAAGTGTGAAGGTCCTGAGGTGAAGACTGTTTGGGGCTGTTCAACTAATGCATGCAGGGAAGCAGAGAAAGGGAAAGACTATGAGGTAAGGGAGGCAGAGGCAAAAGTTTATCATGAAAAAGTTTGAAGGCCAGAAAGGAGTTTGACTATTTTTCCATGCTCAGTGGGATATCATTGGAGAGTCCTGAGGAGAGTAATATGATGTGATTTTACATTAAATAAAAATCACTTTTTCTGTTTTCTGATGAGATCTAAGAGTGAAAAAAAAAGACATAAATTAAGACTATTTCAGTAGTTCAGAGGGAAAAAAATGATAGTGGACTAAATGTGGTGAGGAGAAAAGCAGAGAGAAGTGTGTACATTTATAATATATTTAGGAGAAATAGTAGATAGATTATCTCCAGTGAGAAGAAGAAAGGGAGTGACTTTTAGCTTTCGGATCTGTGTAAATATGTTCAAAGTGGTGAAATATGAAAGACCTAAGGAAGAAAAATTTTGAGGAAGGAAATCAAAGTTCTATTTAGGACATGTTAAGTTTGAGATGAGTATTAAATCTCCAGGTATAAGTTGAGTATTGGATGTTTGAGTCTGTAGCTCATGAGAAAATTGGATCACAAGATACAGCTTGATATTTTCAACTCATAGACTGTGCATAAAGCCTAGAAATCTTAGGGGGCAACTAAAATTAACAGCGATGAGATTCTAGACTCTCAGTTCAATCATCTTTCTTCTGCTCCTCACTCTCTCTCTTCCCACCCCAACCAACACACAGAGTATTAGGCAATTAAGAGGTGCATATCTGAGTGTTTTCCAGTGCCAGTTAAATAGACATACTTCCTGGGCTCTGCGCTTAAATTCTCCTCCTTATTTATTTGACTTCTTCCTTTATCAATTGTCAGTGGTCTCCCCTGATTAGCCATCCTTTGTATTTCCAGACTAGGATACTGAGCTTCATCTGAGTATGTTTTTCAGCTTTGATCCATGCTGTTGTACAAATGTCAATGACTTTAATATTGATGTTGATGGTATTTTTAATATTTGACCATACTAAATCACTTATCCTCGTCCTGAAATTTTCTGTCTCTGTGATTTTTCTCATTTCCTTATTCCCTTTGCCTAAAATGTTCTACTTTCCCTTGTACATATTTGGATCCTAGTCACCCTTCACACCCTAGCTCAAATGTCATTGTTTTTCATGAGGCTTGTCATGTAATTTGAGCTAAAGGTGGTCTTTTCTCTCTGAACACCTGTAACACTTAAGAAAACACTTCTTATGTTAATACTTTCTGCCAGGTACTATATTTATTTAGATACAAATATATATGGGAAAAATCTAACATGCTTGTCATGGCTATAATTTGATTCCTCATGGGTTTCTACCTGTAGTTTTCTGACGAAGGAACCTGCCTTTTAAATAGATATGACTATGTCTCCACTGTTTGACACTATCAGTTGCCTGGTCACGGCTGATCAGACCTTCACTGGACACTTGACCCACTAGAGACAATGCACTATTTTGTCAGTGGTCTGTGAGTGACTTGCTGTGAAAGCTCTGGCATAACAGTCATGATGGTGTTTAGCTGAGCATATAATCCAATTATTTCAGGAATCTGAGCTCTGAGATATAGCTAGTCATTCAGTTAGAAACAGGAGCAAAACTTTAAAATAATCATAGAGAGAAGCAATAAAATGGTAGGGTTTAGAAGGAGTATTGTCAAGAGTGACTCATTTTTCAGAGTCAAACAGAACCACTGATTGTTAAAACATGAAGTTATTCCAATAACAAGTAAGAATCTCTTAGTTACATGATGACAGGAAATAAAACAGCTATCCCGCTCCTGATAAAGTGACAAGACAAGCCAATCAGGAGAGTCCTCAAATCCTTTGATGCAACAAACTATGTGTAAGGCCTGGGGAGCTGCCTGCTTGGCAGTTTCGAGAATCCCATGAGCTGTTTTTCTGCCTATCAAGTGTGTCTTTACTATAAACCCATTGCTTGTAGTAGCTTGATTGAGTTGCTGATCTACCATACTGAACTGTATTCTACCTGAGGGCCTGAATCTTGTTTAATTTAACTTTGTAGCCATCTCACTTCTGAGCAGTGCCTTTTAGATGGAGTGTTCCTCCCAAATGGTAATTGAATAAGATACACAAACTAGTTTGGTAGATTACTTAACACAATTGATAACTGTTACCAGAGGAGTACCCTCCTCATTCCAACAATGGGAGAAATAATTAAAGGAACATTTTCAACAAGAGAGCTTGCCATATACGTGAGACTTCCTTTGGAGACTCAGCACTTTGAGATTTCATTGGCGTTGACTCTAAACTCTAAATGGGTTAGTCAAATAAATATACAGATTAGTTTGATACTATCATATTCCCAGTAAAATCTGACCTTTTTGATTAAAAATAAATTCACATTAACTCATTAACCTCTTTATATTTGTTTCTCATTTAATCCTTGTAACAATCCTGAGGGATCAAAGTCATTTTCCCCCATTTCAAGACCAAACTCTGGGATCAACAGAGTAGAAAAAAAAAATGAAAGAGAATGTAAATAGAGCTTAGTATTTGGGACTGAACTTAGCCTGAGGAGTTGAGTCAACTGTCTTTGACAGAGCATGTGGGCAGAATGTGCAGAGCAGAATTCCCACATGAGATTTGAACTCCTCACTTCTTTTTCTTTCATCTTGTTTCTTGGTCTTTCTGCATATTTTTTTTTTTTGGCTCATTCCCTTCCTCTCCGTTTATTTATTTTTTTCAACCCTATACTCAGTCTGTGAAACACCACAGAGTGTAAATCCATCAGCTCTTTTTAATCAATCCTTCTACTCCCAGCTACGCAGAGGTTGAAGTGGCTGGTCCTATTTCTGGGCCTGTCACAGCCCAGGGGTCAAAACCTCACCTGCACTGATAGTAAGATACCTGGTGGTGAAATAGTCTTTTCAGAAGAGTGCTCTTGGTCTCACCCTGCCAACATGCACAGCCTCCAACAGAAGTAAATACAATCCTCAGTGCCCATGATAGCCCAGTACCCTCCCTCCAAGAAAGCAATTCATCGACTCATAACAATTCCTGCTTATTTCTTCACTCACCCCACCACTAAGACAATTAGTGCTTTGTGAATCATAATTTTATGCCTTGTTTAGATTTACTACTTGCAGGTCAATTGACATGCTTTTATATTGAAATAAAGAAATTCAACCCAGGTTAAAAAAAAAGCTCCACATTTTACATTTCACATATTTAGTGTTAATTTTATTAAGAAAGTGGGCATATACACAAATGATCTTAGGCAAGTCACGAAACATTTCTGTGCTGCAATGTTATATAAAACAAACTTAAATTCTACTTCAGAGGATCATGGCTAGGATCAAATAAAATTAATTAAGTGAATTCCTTTATAAAGAGGTAAAAGATAGACTCATAATATCTTTTCATACTAATACCTTGTGATGGAAATTCTCATTTTACCCTCAACTTAACTTTTGAAAATTTCATAAATTGTGTTTTCATAGGTTTATTTAGACAGCTTAAACTTTAAACCAAAATCGTGGATTTCAAGATCTCTTAGGCACCCACAGGTCTAAGGTTAAATAGTTAAATAAATGTCTATGAGTACCCAGTGGTTAATCTTTACACAGTTTCAGGTTTCATGCCTGAAATGAGCAAATTATACACATGAGTTCAAAGTTTAGAACCTGGCAAAATAAATTATAAAGAAAGTGTGTAGCTTTTCACTGAAAAAGAAAATATTATTTAATATATGTGTACAGAGCAATGTTTTTTCAATGTAACATTGAGAAATGAATGACATCACTGTCACAGCTGTGTATTTCATATCTAATTATATGAATCACATGCTGAGTTTCACATTAATAAGATCAATGCATTTGCTGCAATAATCCAATATGTATTACTACCTAAAAAATACCCCTCCCTCCTCAAAATGCAAGCAGGAAAGAAAAAGAAACTCCTTTTTTAGCTGTATAGTAAAATGTGTATCAGCTTTCCATTCTTAGGCAAACATTTTACAAAGTGAAAGAGGAAGAAACGTTGCTCACAAGATAGACATTTTCACTTTTCTAAATATATATTTAATATGACTAATAGCACCATAAGATAACCAGAGTTACCAGAAAACACAGGACTTAAAGCTTGTTTACAGATCTGAATTTTGATCTAATCTTACCATCTAAACTCAAGTACCAAGATTAATTTTAGTCAACTCTAACCATATTTAGTTGATGTGTAAAGAAAAAGCCCAGCTGGGCTAACGAGCTAAGTCACAAGTCTAAGTGTGATAAATGTCGGTTTACTGATATAAGTTCTGCCGGGCTAACTCGTAAACCTAAAGTTTAGTGTCAGTTTACTGGGCTAACAAGCTAACTCGTAAATCCAAGCTCAACAAGTGTCAGTAACGTGATCTGTTCCAAATTGATAAGCTTCAGTGTACTGATTCCTTGCTTTTTGTTGTTTGAACCTTATTGGCTAATAGCCCCATACTTGTAATTAACCCTATAAAACCTTATATGCACGTCTTGAAGATGCTCAGAGCTTCAGAGCAGAAGCCCCTCTGAGCCCGCCGGCATAATAAATCTGAGTACTCCAACCCTCCGAGTGGTGCTTGTTTCTTGGCTGGCCTGTCATTTCCGTAACAGATGAATTGCAGTATACTATTGACATTAATTCTTTTTTACTATATTGGTAAAAATCTCTTCATTTAACCCACAATTTCAAAGGTAGGGATCCTTAAAGGGGTTGTGCCACTTTTATGGAAATAATTTGCAGGAAAAATAAATAAAACTGGCAGAAGAAACCTCTAAATTATTACGACAAGGATTCTAGTAGAGAGAATATCCGTTTAGAAAAATCACTGAATGTGTATTTGTGTATGAAGTGTATTCAGGGTCTCAGAGCTTACCTGCTAGGATTCCAGTGGGGTCCACAGCTTCCAGTGTCTCTCCTTCAACAAAAATAAAACCTCTCGACAGTTCCTTACAAACGTATAGGCCAGACTTCTGAGTGAAGAAATTCAGCACACTTCTGCTGAAACTCCACCCTTCGGGGAATTTGTGAGCTAACTTTAGTTCTTCCCACTCTGTGTATTGTGATCTTAAATCTCCAGCCGCTGACAAAACACTTAAAAAGCTGCCCCTGCTCCCTATGTCAAACGCCCGGGGCTCTGCTCCGGGCACTGTCCTCTAAGGAGCTCTGCCCTTTAGACTTAGGTAAACATTTCCTTGTCCTCCAACTAAGATCTTTGGAAATGTGAGCAGTATCTTATAATAATCCTGTGAACAGAGTTTCCTCATTTTTGTGTGAGTTCAACCAATGAGTTTGTCCAGGAACTAAATCCCTAAATTTGCATTGCTTTTTTGCTTTGGGCCTTGGACAAGACAATCAAGGAAGAAAAAGTTAAGAGTTTAAATATTAAGTGGAAACTAGCAGAGGAAACTTTGTAAATGGAGATCATTCCTTTAAGCCTGTGGGCTGTCTATTGTTCTATCTTCATTATCTCTTAATGCTTATTCCCCAGCTGGAGTCTTTTGGGGAATATCCTTTTAAAGTGTTAAAAACCAAGAGCAAAGAGTTTCAGAATTAAGACCAAAGGTAGAGATTGGGCCTGGATAATTGAACCACTTTGGTACATCTGTGCCTTTTTGAGCCGCCACAGCACACCAGGTATAGAATTATTTTGACTCAGTCATCTCTACCTCGTTTTTGCTGTGTAACTCTGGACAGTTCACCTGGCCTGTGCTGAGGCTCAGTTATTCCATCTATCAAATGGAGACATAAAAGTACCTTTCCATAAGATTACTGAGATACAAAGCAATTCATGTAGAAAACCAGCATACCAAGACACATAAGTTAATAATTAATACATGCTTTTTATTAAATTAACCATACCAAAAGTACTACTATTCAGTGTCCAAGAGATGGGGATAAACAAATGAAATTACTTTCATACAAGCAATTGAGCAATGAAAAGAAAATATATTTCACCTCATCAATCCTATCATTACAATAATACTATAAAGTAAGTAGAGTCTCTTAATTTTATTAAGTTGCAAGAGTAAAACTTTGACTCTAGTCAGAGTGTCTCAAAGTTTGTATTTTTTTTCTATGTTGCTTATTCTTTGTGCTGTAAGAATGTTAGACAATTTGCCAAATTCTCATATCCAGGACACAAGCCTGCGGGTGAAGTCTGTCAATTTTGGAAGGATAATCACACTTCTGTAACTACAGGCTATGGACATAGATATGGACAGAAACAGCACACCAAGGTCTTTCTTTCACCTGGCTTCTAAAATCTTTTAATAATGTTAAAAATGATTTCATCAAAATATTATCTTAAAAGCTATGGTTTAACACAGCCACTTGTAAAGAAATTGCTTGGACGTCGAAGTAATGATCCTATTTCTTATATTTTGTAAATCTTTTTTAAATTTGTTACTTTCATTCATTTTTTCAAAAGTATTAAGCCTGTTCTTTGCACCCCAGGGATATTATAGTGAGCAAAATCTTTATAATATTAACAGAAGCCCCTAAAAATATAAAGGAGTTATGAGATAACAAGTTGCAGTGGGGAGTGGTGAGAGCAAGATCCCCTACAGGGCCAGCTGTGGAGGGAAAAGAAAGAACAGAGCTCCCATTCCTTCTATTTTGGAAACAGGAAGAAGGAATATGTTGTCAGGATAAATTGTACCAATCCAGAGTTGTCTGTTAATTTCTATGTATGTCATCTTGCCTGTAAAATTACATGTTCTGAGAAGCAGAGAATTTGACTTGATCCTCCTCAGAGCTTTGCCCATGAACAGAGCTATGAAAGTGTCTGTTGAATTCTTTTCTTTTATTTATTTTTTAAAAACATTCAGTTCCTTCTATTAAAATAGATATTTGAGGATATGAGAGAACTTCTATTTTCTCAAAAACTAATTCTTAAACCATAAGCTTTATCTTTACTCTTCAGGGTTTATTCACTGAGGCTGGGCCAGTGCCAGTGAGTAGACCTCAGTGGGTGCTTGCTGTATTACTAACCAAACTGAATTCAGCATAGCAAACTGTTTCTGTAAGAATCCAAGGCTTCAGATCCAACTATGAAGCGCTAATACTGAATGTTCAATAAGTAAAAACAAGTATGAAATTGAAGACAAAGATACTGGTTGGTGGCCAATTCAAGTCATGTTAGGTAGTTAGATAAGTGGTGGCACCAGGCAGATGTGAAGGAGAAGGAAGATGGTCTGGAAGATGGTGGTATGCCCACCTTCAGCAGAAGGGAACTTTATTTCTTCTAAATGATTGCCAGCAAGAAATATTAGAACCCAACAGCTGCAACTGCTTGGTAGTGAGAAGGGCTTAACTGGACATGACCCTGTGCTCGTTGTAATATAATTAACATTGCAGTCTAGGCCCCTGCCATGGGTTTTTCTGTGTAGATCATGCGTAAGGACATGCGCAAAGGGGCCAAACATCACTAAGCGTTACAGGGGCAGGAGCTGTCAATCAATCAAAAGACCACCTCCAAGCGAGAGTATAAGAGAAAGAGCAAAAACCATTGTGGTTTCCCGTTGGAGCAGCCTTTCTCCTGTTCTTGGAGGTTTATTTTTCTTAACCTAAATAAATCCTCTAAAATCTTTTGCTACACATCGCTCTCTGTGACTAGGGTCTTTTCCTTTTTGGGGGGGCAACAGTCTGACTATTAAAATTGTTCTGTAGAAGTAAAAGAAGACATTGAGGGCCAGTGAGGATGAACTGACAAACAGCGGCAGTCTCAAAGCAGGTGTTGAAGGGTAGCAGAATATGCCACCCTGAAGTATGACTGTAGGAGTTCAGGACATGTCACCGCAAAACATGCCGCTATGGTATATTATTTTTAGCTGTAGGCACTTCAACAACAGCAAATGCAGGGAGAGCTGCCTCTGAACTCCCTTAATCTACATAAAAACAGATGGGAAAGAACCCAAGTTTCATAAATTTCCCCCACCCTGAGGTTCATTAATCGGGGAAAATTGATTCTTATCCTAGAAGACACAAGAGGTTGGCATCACACGCAGAGAAACATTGTCACCGTCATATCTCTCACCTATTCTTCCAAGAGCCCATTCATCTTTCCAAAAAATAATTTACTCTCCCCGAGGTATGCCACCTTCCCTTTCCCTATTAAGGTAAGAAGTTAGCCTGAATTCTAAGCCACCTCTGCGAGTTATTCATTCCTCCTGCGTACCTCCCATATATACACAACATATACATGTTAACAACCTTCTGTTTGTTTTCTGTTGTTAATCTGTCCTTTATTACAGGAATCCCAGCTAAGAACTCAGAAGGGTAGAAGGAAAATTATTTTTCCTCCCCTCCAGTATATAGGAACTTTCACATGAATTTATTTTCTTAATTAAATAAAAGCTTTTTAGGAGGTCACAGCTCACATCTGTGGACAGAAATTTAATCTGTCACTTTGGAAGTCTCCTTCCTTCTTCTTCCAAGAGGGTGTTGGAAATATCCCAGGTGTTTTACACACAGCAGAATACTCTGGAGCCAGCCTAGTGCTTCCTTGTCTCTCTTCCTTTCTGCCTCTCCTTTCCCTGCCCCATCACCCTGCATTCTCAGGCACTCTTTCCCCTTCCTCTTCAGGTTAACCAGTACAGCACAACATAAGCTCTCACAAAAGCCAGATCAGGAGGTTCTTGTCAAGCAGTCTCCATCCTGAAGCCAAGGAATGCCCAATCTTCTCTATATGAGTAAGGAAAAATATAAGGAACAGAACACACACACCCCCAAAATTCTCTCTCCTCCATTCTTTCCCCTCTGCTTCTTTTTCTTCCTCCTCACTCTCCTTCCCTGCCTTTTCCCCTTCCTTCCTTTCCCTCTCTTCCCCTTCTCATTCCTTCCCCTTCCCTCCTCCATCTCTCCTCAGTCCTCCTCCCCTGCCTTTCCTCTCTCTTCCCCCCTACTCTTGTCTTCTTCCCCATTCCTTCCCTCCTCTGCCCTCGTCTCCCTCTTCCTCCACTCTCCTCCCCTCCTCTCTTCCTTCTTCTCCCTTTCCCTCAAATCTAACAGGGAAAATAAAGCAAATTAATATAACAATAAATCACTAGACTAAATAGAGCATCTGTTCTTTCCTTCCGATGAGGTATATATTCTAGTTATTAGAAAAGCTTCCCAATAATAGGCAGGGACTTTCCCAAGTAGTATTTTCAGGTTTCTTTGAGGGGAAAAAAAAAAAAAAAAAAACCTCAAGGGCTCACTGTAACATGACATTTTGCCAGATGGTGATTTAGAAACTAAAATTCTACAGGATTTTAAACCGAGAAGTGACTGGTTATATACCCATTCACTTTTTCGTACATCAAAATTTTCCCTACACTGTTAAATTCACAGAGGCATTTAAGGCAATCTATATGTTCTTGCTTTAGCAGGGGAACTTTAATATTCTCTGATATATATGTTTGCATATCGATTTGCCTAAATGTCTGATTGTTTACATGGAGAACTAAAATTAACAAAAATACCTGTTTTTTTCCTCTGTATTCAAATAGCAAGCAGATAAAAGAGTCAGAGCTGAGCTACAGAAAGTTTTCAAAATAATTTTGAAATAAGAAAATGCTTTTAATATTGCTAGCCCTATTTCAAGGGCTATTCACATCTGAATAGAAGGGACTTCGATAAATTAGTAAATGACCATTAAGGATTTTAAAACTCCCACTGTAGAGCAAGGATTTACTTTAAAAAAACGAAAAACATTTTGTAGTAGTAGTTATTGCTTTTACTGTTCGCTTATTTAATAACACAGATATTCTCAAAGCAATGTTACTGCTATCACCATCCTGGTAAGGAGAGGTTCCCTGAGGTTTCTGTATAACAGAAGACACTGAGTAATGAGTATATTAACATCATTAACTCCATGACATCAGCAGTATTGACATTGGGATAACTGCAAAATGGGAACAGGCAATGTTAAATTTTCTCTTTCTCTTTCTTTCTTTCAATATTAGTTTATAACCTTTTATAAGTTTCATATATAAAACACTGTATTTCAACCTCTGTATACACTAGAGCATGCTCACCATCAAGAACTTTGTTTCCATCAGTTACCACACAGTTGACCCTCTTTTACACATTTTGCTCTCAGTCCACACTCCTTCCCTGTGGTAGACACTACTCTGCTATCTAGACATACATGCTTGTTTTTGTTTGGTTTAATTTGTTTATTTTGAAGATTTGTTTGTTTTCTGAACACATATTAGTGAAATCATAAATTTTTGTCTTTCTCCATCTTACTTA